AAGGAAGAAAGGAAGAAAGGAAGAAAGGAAGAAAGGAAGAAAGAAAAAGAAAAAGCAAGCACCTGTCAGGGCTGACAGATTCAACTGCTTCCTGCTGAATAGATGAAAGTTCGGAATACCATAGGAAGGACTGAGGAGAGGGCTTACGCATACCTGTATGGCTCACAAGAAGTGGGAAAGAATTTCCCCTGGCATCTGCATTGCATTTAGCTGTATCACCTTCAGTTTTATGAGGATAAAGACCTGGCTAGTGAGACACGTTAGAAAATTGGGTGGCATTTCTGAATCCACGTGTGTGCACTTTTTGAAGGTGCACAGGTGGAGGCATCTCCCAGTCTATTCACCCTTTTGCTAAGACTGGAAAATGTATTTGTTTTAAATGGTGTAAATTGTGAAATGAACAGATTTAACCACTCCAGAATTTGGAGACAGCATCTGAAACTCAGCACTGTTTCTTTGTGCCTCAAAAGAGACCTGATTAACATACTGAGATTTCTCTAATCTCCTTCATTGCCCACTCCTTCAGATGAAACTGCTACTTCTCACAAGCAGGGTGAGGGCTTGAAGGTAGTTTTATTATTTATCAGGTCTAATATACTGAGGGAATCAATTTACAAAATCCTCAGGTCAATCCATGGAAGTTATCTAATGTTGAAAATGAGATAATGGTATGGTTCATTCTTTTATACTGCACTCTTTGATAAAAGAAAAATACAGTTAATAGGAAAAACAAATTTACTTGGGGGCATCACTGAGCTTTTACTGAAAAAAAAAATTTTAATTTCTCAACTCTTACTGTATGTCATGATGTTATTCAACTACACATATACAGTACAGGTGAGGTTTATGCAGTTCATAAAGATCTTTAGAGTAAGAGGAAATCCATTGGTGCTACAGCTTTTCTTCTTTTCACTCTGAAAGTGACAGTTACGTAGGAAGTCTATTCAAGAATTTTGTTACAGTTTACTGATTTGATTTCACTCATGTTCAACTATATTGAAAACACAATGAAGATAAAAATTGGGAAAAATCAATTGCTCTCCAACAACTTGTTAAAAGATATAATGCTAAATGATCCCACAATGATATCAACTATAAAACACTTATGAAAACCTTGAAAAAAATAACATAGACCTATGCAAAAAATTACAAACTCATAAAATGACATCTAAAGAAAGGAGATGCATATTGTATTTCAGAAGGGAGTATTCAATATTAAACATCTGAAATTCACTTATAGATTCAGTACAATTGCATAAGGAACCTAACATAGTGTATCTTAAAATTTAAATTCATTCCATATTTTAACTGAAAAAAACCAGTGAAGAGAATTGGCCAAGACATGCTTAAGATAAGCTACCATAATATATAAAACTACCATAATCACTTGTAAAGTGTAGACCAAAAAAGTCACTAGGTCAAATCCTGGAAATAGATATATTCTTGAACTCTATTATAAGAAAAAGAAAGCAATTACAGCTCAACTCGAAAATGGATAACTTATGAAATAAGTGGCATTAAGGCAATTAACTATACCAATTATTAAATTATCATAAGACTGTAAGCCACCTTAACATCCACTTACTAAATAACAGGTATTATAAAAATCTAAATGCAAAATGTATAAAATATATTAGAAAATACACATTTCTAATTATGGAGTAACAAAAGACTTTATAAGTAGTTCTAAATCTGAGAAACCATTAAGCTTTTTTCAAAGAAAAAAGAAAAAGTTATACATTTAATTACATGAATAGGAGACTTTAGAATTAATAAGTTAATTTAGCAGAGTTAGAGGATTCAAGGTTCATGTGCCAAATCCAAAAGCATTGTTACTATATAATAGTAACAATTAGTAAAATTTTTAAAAAATAACTTATGGTACTGTCAAAAATATCAAATATTTCTGAAAAAAAATATTGAACTACCAGCAAGCCTTCCACTCTGTAAACCAGATAACATTGCTGACAGAAATTAAGACCAAAACATAAAGAGATATGCTATGCTTGTGGATTGGAGGACTGAATATTAGTATAGTGGTTACTCAAAGAAAAAATTTGGAGGTTGTAAACCACCTAACTTTAAGACTTACTCGAAAGTTGCAGTAATTATGACAGTGACAAAATGCTTTGCAAATAAATCACACAGAATATATAACTCAAAAATGAGCCTGCATTAATATGATGATTTCACATTTAGCAAATGCACTAAAACCATCAAATGGAAAAGAAAAATCTTTTCAGTAAATAATTGTGGAATAATGTATATATGTCTGTAAAATAAATGAATCTCAATTCATGTCTCACGCTATTTGCAAAAGTCAATTTGGGATGCATCATAAACCTAAATGTAAATCTGTATAATACTTACAGTAGAAACTATAGGAGAATAACTTTATGATTCAGGGGCGCTCAAGTTTTCTTAGAACAAAGCAATAACCTTAAAGGAAAGGAAAAGATCAGTAAAGCCTCACCAAATGTAGACTTCCACTTATCACGTGATTTAATTAAGAAAATTAATGAGAATACCTTTGACTAAGAAAAAGCAGTCACAATGCATATACCTTATAAAGGACTATGGCTCAAGATTTTTAAAAATGCCAAAAATATATTAACAATAGACCCAACATTTTAATAAACATTTCACAAGGTGCAATATATAGTCAGTAAACATCTAAAACAATTAATTCATCATTATGTATCATGAAAATGCAATCTAATATCATGATGAAATAAATACATGCAATCTAAAATCATTATGAAATAAATACACTCCACATCCATCAGAATGGCTTACTTTAAAACAGCCAACAACATCTATATAAAGAAATATATTGAGCACCTGTAACTTCCATTTCTTGTTTGTGGTAATGGTAAATGATACTATCACTTTAGAAAAATGATAATTAATTCCTCAGCATTTCAATTTTTTTTCAATGCTATTGTGAAAGATGTTGTATCCCTAGTTTCTCTCTCAGTGAGTTTGTTGTTTGTGTATAGGAATGCTGTTGATTTTTGAATGCTTACTTCACATCCAGCTATGCTACTGAATTGGGTTATTTAATCTTGGAGTCTTTTGGTGGAGTTTTGGAGTCTTCTAGGTAGAGTATCATGTCATCCGCAAATAGTAACTTAACTTCTTCTTTTCCTGCCCTTGTTCTTTTATTTCTTTTTCTTGTCTAATTGCTCTGGCTACTGTTTCCAGAACTATATTAAATAGGAATGGTGATAGTGTAGATCCTTGTCTTGTTCCTGATTTTGGAGTGAAAGCTTTCAGTTTTTGTGCATTTAATATGAAGCTGGCTCTTGGTTTGTCATAGATGGCCTCTATTAGATTGAGATAAAGATTTTCTAATCCAATTTTTTATAGATATTTTTATCATGAAAAGTGTTGGACTTTATCAAAAGCTTTTTCTGCATCTATTGAGATGATCATATGGTTTTTGATCTTGGCTCTGTTAATATGGAGTATTGCATTTATTGATTTATGTATGTTGAACCATCCTTTCATCCCTGGAATGAATTCTGCTTGGTCATGGTGAGTAATCTTCTTGATGATTTTCTGCATTCTGTTTGCAAGTATCTTATTGAGAATTTTTGCATCTATATTCACTAGAGAAATTGGTCTGTAGTTCTCATTTTTGGTTGGAGCCTTCTCTGTCTTTAGTATCAGGGTAATCCTTACTTTCAGGAATGAATTTGGTAGTATTGCTTCCCCTTTGATTTCATTAAAGAGTTTCACAGGCAGTGGCCTTCAATCTTTTCTAAGTTTCTTGTAGAATTCAGTGAATCCATCAGGTCCTGGGCTTTTCTTTGTTGGTAAGTTTTTTATTACATTTTCTATTTCACTGGATGATATTGGGTTATTTGGAATTTTTATATCTTCTTGATTCAGTTTTGTTGATTCTTATGTATCTAGGAATCTGTACATTTTTTCTACATTTTCCATCTTACTAGAGTACAGCTTCTTGAAATAGGTATTGATGATCTTAAGGATTTCAACAGGTTCTAGTACATACAGACAACTGAAAAAAATTAGACCACCCACCAAATTTAAAGACCCAATCCAAAAAATAGGCATTTGAAATGAGCATACACTTCCCAGAAGAAGAAATACAAATGGCAAATAAATATATGAAAAAATGTTCAACATCATTGGTCATTTGAGAAATGCAAATTAAAAGAATACTGATATTCCATCTCACCCCTGAAAGAATGGCTATTATGAAGAAATCAACCAATAACAAATGCTGGAGTGGCAGTGGGTAAAAAGGCATCCTTCTGCACTGTTGATGCGAATGTAGACTGAGGCAACCACTGTGGAAATCAATGCAGAGATTCCTCCAAAGACTAGGACTAGAGGTCCTATTTGACACAGCTATTCCCCTTCTGGGTATCTTCCCAAAATAATTTAAAACACCATACCATAGCAATATATGCACACCCATGTTTATAGTAGAAAAGCCTGTAAGAGCTAAATTTTGGAAATAGCCCAAATGTCCATCAACCAAGGAATGAATAAAAAAATTTTTAATACAATGGCATATTACTCAGCCATAAGGATGGATAAATTTGTCGGTAAATGGATGCACCTTGAGGCCATACTCTTAAATGAAATAATTTGGACACACATCATCACATTGTTTTTCTGGTGTGAGATACCAAAAGTGTAAATAAGGACCAAAGTGTATAAAAGATATTGTAAAACTGGAAGAAATTGCTCAAAAGAAATGGGAACTAGGAAGGGAGAAGGGGAAAGGAAGGGAAAAGATAAAAATGATAAACGAAGGATAAAATGGAAACAAAGCTTTGTAACTAAGGAGGAAAAAAGGGGTTGAAGGAAGCAGAGAAGACAGGGAAGAAAGAGGACTCAGGATATATCGTGTACAGGTACAAATTCCCTATGATGAATGTGGTCATTATGTATATCAAACTTGTACCAGTAAACATAATAAGCAAAAAATGGAAAAACCCACATACTAAACTTATTACAATAAATTTCTACTAATCTAGAATAATTAACTTGATTTAAAATTATTTCCCTTATTGACAAGTGTATAAGCAGTACAAAGCATTGCTAGGAATTTATGTCAATGAATAAATGTGTTTATTGGATAAAAAATGAAAAGTGATGGGATAGTTTCTTATAAAGCTAAACATGTACTTCCATTGAACCCACCCATCCTACTGGACATTTAGTCAACAGAACTGGAAATACATATTTGTAAAAAGACATGTGTATGCCCCCAGGGTAAATAAAAACAGGGGATGAAAAAAGGAATTAAAATGTGTTATGTAAATTTTTTAAAAATGTAAATTAAAATTAAAATTAAAATGTACATGTCCCAACCTCCCAAAGGACTATAAATATTATGTACTGCACACATGTACTAACAAACTAAAATTTAAAAAGTTTTGAAAAGAGATATTTAAACTGTTCATAGCAGTTTTATTCATAGTAGCAGTTTTATTCACAAACTGCAATTGGCCTTTATTGTCCAACATCAGGAAATATATGCTTTAAAAAAATTGGTATTCAAACAATGGTTTACTACAGAGCAATTAAAATGAGCAAATAATTGATATGTAGAATGTGATGGATAAACATCCAAAAATTATTTTGAGAGAAACAAATTTTTCACACAAAAAAGCCTATGCTATGTGACTCCACTTACATGAAGATCTAAAATAGGCAAAACCAATCCACAAAGAAAAAATCAGAGGAGTGATTTTCTGCTATGGGAAAGGACTAGAAGTGGACACTGACTGAGAATATACATGAGGGGACCTCTTCAATAACTGTAATCTTTTCTATCTTGGTAAGGGGTTAAATTATATAAGTGTATGGATTGGATTAAGATTTGTATATTTGTTGTTTCATTTTGGAACAAGAAATTTAAAACCTATGAACAAGTATTGGATTTTAGTGCATGCTGAAGTGTTTATTGGAAATGTATTAGTATAGTTACTTGGAAACATACTGATAAGATGAGGTCAGTTTATTGATAAAAAGATGGATATGTGAACATGCATCTGATAAAACAAATACTGTAAAATACTAACTGTAGAATCGAAGAAGTAGATATATGATTCTTCATTGTAAAATTCTTTCCACGTTGCTGTATGTGAGAAAATTTTCATAGTAAAATGCCATGTATAAAACTCCACTGGGGACAATAAAGAAGAGAAAATAGAAAATAAATATTTCTAACACCAATTAAACAAGGAAATATGTACAACCACAAACCACAAAGTAGAAAATACGACTGAATCTGTGGATCAAAGGGCAGACATTTTCCTGAGAGCAACTCTTGAAATTTCTGAACTTCGAAGATGAAATAAATAAATAAATAAATCTTACAACAAATGAGGTAGAAAAATCTTGTCACATCATGGAGAAAATAATTTAAGACTTCAGACTTCTTCACCACAACCTCCAATACCAGAGGACAATGAGGGAATATGAAGAGCCTAATGATCTTTCAATAAAAACAGAACAACATCAGTAACCGCTTAGAAACATGCAAGTGAATAAGAACTCACTGCTTACTAAAAGCTGGGAAGCCACTCCTTATAAAACTGACTAAACTAGTCAACCCTGAGATGAATCAAAGCATAGATGGAAGCACTGGGAATGTAGCTCTGTAGTAGAGCACTCACCTGGCACCCTGGTGGCCCTGGGTCTATTCCCGGGAAAATAAACCAAAAACATAAACGTTCATGGAAAATAGATCTAGGTGAAGGAGAAGATAAGGTGTAAGAAAGAGTTGAAGCCTTGCAAGATACAAAAATAAACACATCAAAGATGGTGCTTGACAAAACCTTACCACCTTATTCGGACTTGTTTATTTCATTTAACATGTTACTGTGTCTGAATAAGAAATATAGCCATGGGGGGGGGGTAAAATTCCCAATAATACATGTAAAAGTTATTCATTACAAAATGTGGTTCCCATAACTTTCTGCACCAGTCCTACTTTACTCTTCATTGAGGGGTAACCTTTGCTAATGCTTTGTTTTATCCAGTGTTTCCTGATGCAAAAAAAAAGAAAATACAAAGGTTATTTTTGTTTCCGCTTTTCAGTTTACAAGAAGTATCCTGTGATATCCACTGTTTTGCACCTTAGCTTTTAAATAATTATATATGGTAGAGATGTGGCCATGTTAGTACACATGGATTGCCCTCATTCCAATTTTTTAGACTTTCAGTTGGCTTATAATAATCATATATATTTATGGGGTATAACTGACATTTTGATGCAAGTATATATTATGTAATGATAAAGTTGGGGTAATTCTCATATTCTATCACCTCAAACATTTACCCTCACTTTATGATGAGAACATTCAAAATCCTCCCTCCTAGTTACTTGGAAATATAAATATAACATTGTTAACTAGCCAACCTGCTATACAATGGAGCACCAGAACTTACTTCTG